ATGGTGTTAAAGTGAGCATTTCTACTTCTTAAACAGTTTGCATTGAGTGTGAGGAGAACTTAGAAAAGTGTTCTGTCTAATTCGTCTCATCCGTACATAAATAAAGTGTATATGTGAGCAGGAAATCTTCTACCATTCAAGATACTGTCATTATCATCATTATTATTGCTGTTGTAATGTCTTAAGTTATCTCTGGGAAAAGAAAAATATCCAGATAAAGGACAGAGGAGAGAATAATCTTCTCTAGGCTTCATTTGTTTCTCTCTCTTCCCGCCCCCCCCACCCCCCACCCCCGGAATATTTTCTATAGAATTTTAAACTTTTTCCTGTTAGGTGACCTCATGCCCTCTGGGGCTGTTGCATTCTCTGCTATCTTTGGTTGTAGGATAAAAGTTAAGATGACTCTAGTTTTGAGGCATTGACTCCATGTGCCTTATAGAATACATTGTGTTCAGTCAGCGGGGAGAAGTGATTATAGAAGTATTATCTTTGAAGCAAATAGCATGTAAGTTTTATAATGCTCTGGGAGTTTAGGTTCCTGTTTTGACCTGGTATCCGTTATTTCTCTGGAGCTTCCTACTCAGGCATGCATACAAACCATCCTCGTCCTGCAGCATCAGAGACGGAATACTTTTTCTTCTTTGAGCAGCCATTAAGAAAACCACAGAATATTCTATATAAGGGAGAGACATTGGCTAGACCAATAGTTTGCGCTCTGTCCTTGTGCATGAAACGTTCCGTGTATGTGTCTTGGAAAGTGCACTTTGGTGGAGTGGGTCTCTATGCAACCTTTTGCCAGTGGGCCTGTATCTGCTGTAATTTTTTTTTTTTTTTGAGAGGTTTTTGCTATAGGGTGTGTGTGCGCTTGCCAGACAGAGAGACATAGAGACAGAAAGTGAGAAATCACCCCCAGGGGGGATGGCCACGCCGCAATCCCTTCTCCTTCATTCTCCACTCGGGATCTTGGGCACGCACGCACACGCGCCCGGCGTGAGTTTTAAGCCACAGGGTCTGGGGCGCGAACCGCAGTCAACTACGTGGGAGTCCAGCGACATAGCCATTACGCTAACTGCTGGTTCCCATCTGCTGTAATCTTTCTAAATGTCACAAAAACCTTCTATTATGGGGGCCAGCCAGTTACGTGGTGATTAAGATGGCTGGATCCCACATGGCCAACCGCATGGTATGAGTCTCGGACACAATGGCTTAGAAAACATGCCGGGCACGTGGGTGCACATCCAAAGTTCCTAGAAGGAAATGGAGGAGACAGGAAGGCAGCTTGCCATCCTCCCAGGGGAAGCCTTCTCACTTTCTCCCTGCCAGCACACACAACCTATCACAAACTAAAAACTCGACTTCTTCTCTCCGTTAGGGCTCACCTCTGCTGCCCTGGTTGCCTCTCAGCAAGTGGCCGCCCAGGCATCTGCATCAGGAATGTTCCCTGCACAAAGAAGGTAACTGCCCCCTGCATTGCTGTCTGTCTTCCAGATAGAGGCATCTGACTGGCTCAGAGCAGGCAAGCGTAGGCTTTGTAGACGGAAATCTTCGACCCTTGGGGTTTATATCATTGCAACAAATGGACTGTACTTACCAGGAGGCTTCGTGAGCAAGTTATGGTCCGTGAACTCCATTTTATAAATGGAACATAGATAAGTAATTAACTCATGTTGTAGACCGTTGACGTTTTCTTAGGTTATCCGCATAGTTTGTTAAAATATCCCACTACGACTCTCTCTGTTTTATTCTGCTTAAAAATAAAGTTGCAAGTGGGGAAATATATTCTCGTGACGCGAAAGATCATGTTTATTCTTTGCCATTTGAATCACCCCTCGGGTTGTTTTACAAAGGGAAATAACTAAAAGGAATTCAATTATTAATGTTACGGAATCAGTGTGTTTTCATAACGTATGCCATCTCTGCTTTTATTTACTTTCTTGGGAATGCCACTCGTGTATTAGAATGAAAATAAGCCCGTCAATCAGCCTTACGGTTTTCGGTGTGAGGTGTTGGTAGAACCCCACGCTAAGGTTCTCTTTTTCTCTTGCAGAGAATAACCAGATTGGAAGTGTACGTTGTCATGTGACCGGATCACGTGAGGAAGCGCTTTATACAGACATCAGTTCCATGGTGTTAATTTGAAATGCCTTAATGGCAGGCAAAAACCAGTCATTTCGTTTTTGTAAATTACAGATTTTATCACAGAGTAACAAATGTTGCTGTAATTAAACTTCTGTTTTATATATATATATGTATACATATCTGTATATATACATATATATATATATATATATATTCTTTACTTTTTTTGTATCAGTAACCAGGCTCGCACACACAGGGTCTGTTGCCAAGTTGCAAACCACTCAGTAAAGGAAATAAAAAAAACGGTATTGGTCC